AATATAAAGTTCATTGCATTATAATGCAGAGTCCACACTGTTTCGATCTAAGCGTCATTTTTAAATAATTTATCATTTTCATATGAATTTAACCACCCAAGTATGTTCCGTCACAGAAACACATTTTGAAATACACAAATTTTGAAATAATTTGTAAAATAAGTTATTCTGTAATTTCTAAGTCAATGTGATTTATTAGATAGGTACAAATGTTAATATAATGCCCTTAAAAGCTGCAAGAAAAAATTAAAACCTAACTAATTAAAAACTAGAAATTTAATTCCGATACTAACATGTTTTGATACTAACAACTTTTAATACAATATTTGAATGGTTTATATTTACAGAGGGAGCTATCTGTGCTGCGCCTACTGAAAATAATTGGTATCGCGCCCAAGTGATATCTACCTCTGAAGAGAATGATACATCTGTCGTGAAACTAGTGGACTTCGGTGGATATCTCACTGTTGACAACGATCAGCTCAAACAGATCCGCTCCGATTTTATGACACTGCCTTTCCAGGCGACGGAGGCTCTCTTAGCATTTGTGAAACCAGCTAACAATGGTTAAATTCTATATACTTGCTTTCAAATCACTTACAATATCTTTGCAGATTTCTTTTTTTCATCACATTTCATTTAAACTAGTTTATGTGTCATGTTGATCATAGTTTGTTCATTTTCTTCACCTTTGCTTTGTAATTTTTACTGAAAACTGAAATATTAAAAGTATCAATTTTCACCTTTGGTAGTATATATGTAATTCCTGATTAGGTTTACCCATCTAACGGTGATGGTCATTGCTTGTTAGTATATTTCAGTTTTAAATATTATATTTAATGTGGTGAAAATGATTGAATTAATGGAGATTTTCTTCCTGTATTCAGTAGAGTGGAGCGGAGAGGCTTTACGTATAATGGCCGGTTTGACCGCGGGGCAGCTCCTACACGCGCAGGTCGCAGGCTACGACGAGACTGGCCTGCCACTTGTACATCTATACCTCACATTACATCCTCAAGTGAGTTATCTGGTTTAGTGGTAGTCGAGATTTGGCACAATAATAAAATATATAATTATTTGTCTATTTTTGTTGGCCATGTAAACGTTACAAAATCGTATAAAAAAAACTAGATTAAATTGCAACAATGTTATAATTTCTTGCATTTCTGATCCCATTTTAAGTTTACTTTTGTAATTATGTTATTCTAATTATAACATGCCACACTAAAAAAATGCTTTTGAATCTTTTCTAGCATATAATGTCATAATCCATAGATTACGTATTGTAAAATTTAATTAATTATTTCAGCAAGTCATATTCCTGAATAGAGAGCTAGTAGAACGCGGACTGGCGGAGTGGGATGTTCCACCAGACTCCTGAGCGCATACGTCAGCTCGATGCAACGCCGAGCTGCGAACCACTATTATTATTATTATTATTATTTTTATTGTAAAACTGACTATAATTTTACGAAATTACATATGTTTAACATTTGTACATTGTGAAAAACAGAACAAGAATATATTGTTATGATAAATTAAAACTCTTTGTGAGTTTGATCAAGTACTCTTAATTTCATCAAATATATAATATTTTTTTTGAAAAACAATATTTAAATTTAAAAATAGTTTTCTTGTTTTTAAATTTGGTTAGCATTTGATACTCTTTTATTAGTTTCTACAAGAATGCTTCAGCGTTACCTACTTCAAAATGGTACATCAGTTTACACATTAGTGGATCGATTTAAGGTTGTTACTAATGTTTGCTACGTCATTTTATCTTTACAAAAGCTCCTCCCTCCCATAACTGGAACTCGAAATTTTAAACGATAAATGAGTGAGGATTTTGTAGTTTATTTTAGAATTATAATAGTGCATTTGCCCCCTATAAGGGCGGTTTTACTGAGGCGATAAGTTAGAGCTTTTGAATAAATTCAGGATGCTCATTATAACGTAATAATATTATGTCTCATGGCCATCATTTTCCACAATTCCCTTAAATAGGGTTTAAACAGTCTGAATAAAATGTTTCTGATTTCGGATACTTAAACTGGTTGTTATGCCTTAAAAATGTGCCTTTCGTTCTCACTGTTTAACTCTTGTGCATTTTTTTCTACATACTTGCAAATTTACTGCATCCGTCATTCATACGAGAGCTTTGTTTTGTCACAATTATGTTACTTTTAACTTTCTATAAATCTTCTGGAAAAGTCTAAAAGGGTTAACTGAAAAAAATTTCAAGTAATTGTTTATAATGAGTAAAGACTGAAATTGTATAGTTATGTACAGTTGTTACAATTTTTAAAGTATGTGTAAATTGTTATAAACTTAATTGCGTGCTCGTTGATGTAATTGTATGAATGAAGCCGTTACATCGAATTTGTTTTAATCAGACATTTTTTTGCACTCATGTAAAATGTACACAGTATGTACTTAATTTGACAATTTTAAACATGCCTAACGGTTGACCTTTTTTGTAATGTTGAACCAAATTTAAAATATCAAACTCAACATCAGTCGATGTCTTATAATTTGTTTTCTTTAAGATGGCACTTTTTAATAACGCTACAAGTATCTTTTGGCATACGAATGTTCATAACGATTTTATAATGAGCGTTAATAAAATCCTGAATTCGTGTTAGAAATTAGTATAAATTCATGTACATAGTAGAAATTGAGTAGTCATAGGAAAATTTGATACTTGAATGTTCTTTACGGTTTATTGCAGTATTTAATGTGTTGAGAGTTAGTTTGTTTTATTGATTCGCTTGTATTGCGTTATGTGTAGTGTACTTGGCTTATCTGGTAAAATTAGTATTAAAAAAACTTCCATAATTTTGAAGTGTGCAGTTTTTAGCTGTTTGATTATCATAGTATATATAAGTCAGCCGAACTGTATTAAATTTTAATCGACTCTCAAGTTGATGTATGGATACAATACAGGCTGTCTGTTTGCATTTTGTTGACGTCCCTAACTTGTACATAAACTAATATATTTGCGGTTAAATCAATAAATTATCGTTTTAAAAATGTATGGAAATTTTATTCATAAAGTTCCATTCTTGTGGTTTTATTCCTTAGAAAAAACATTCGATAACAAATGCCTCGAAGTTAGTAATTCCTACCCTCCCCAGTCGAGCCGTGCTCTCTTATCTATCTCGATAAAACCGTAAAGGCTCTTCTAAGACATGGGTTCGTTTAACCATGTATATTTATGAATTGAGGCAATTACGTTCCTGCTTAAGGCTGAAATGACCGAAACAGAATGACTGGGAATACCGCCCGCTATTTCTATGGATCTTCATATCCATTTAAAACCGGGGAGACCGTGAACTCGCAACAATAAAGCCTAAAACTTCAATTTACTATAATATATAACAAGGACCCATGTTTGAATGTTAATTCCGTCTGTCAACACCAACATCATAAAATCACAATATGGTCTGCATAGGTACGACACTTAATATCAGGTAAGATAAAATGACAAATTCCGGAAAAATGACTTAGAATTTAATGCAGAAAAATATGCTGGCTTCGAATTGAATTGGAAGTCGTCAGAGCCATCAGCAATCCCTCAATCCTAAAAAAATATTCTTATTCCATATCCGTTCTCTAACAGTATCTACTGCAAGCGGAACGTCTTGTCAGCTACTATGATGACGTCCTAAATATATGTGCCCAAAAGACTGAAACGGCTGCACCGACATCGATGAAATTTTTAGGTAATGAAGATTGGCCTAGCGGGTGATACTATGAAGTTTGGTACCTTGCAGTCGAATCTAAGTCAAATCAATAACCGGGCAGCAAAGTAGGCCGGGATTGAGTAATTAAAAATAAACTCCCTACCAAAAAATAAGTATATTTTATGTTTTTTATTGCTTAGATGGCTGGACGAGGTCACAGCCCACATGGTGTTAAGTGGTTACTGGAGTCCATAGACATCTACAGCGTAATGCGCTACCCATCTTAAGATATAAGTAAGTTCTAAGGTCTCACTATAGTTACAACGGCTGCCCCACCTTTCAAACCGAAAAGCATTACTGCTTCACGGTAAAAATAGGCAAGGCGGTGGTACCTACTCGATCGGACCACCAGTAATTACGCAAATTATAATTTCGCGGGTTTGATTTTTATTACACGATGTTATTCCTTCACCGTGAAAGTCAATCGTGAACATTTCCTAAGTACCTACGGATGTATTTCAGAAAAAAAAATAGGGACCCGCCTGCGGGATACGAACACCGGTGCATCGGTAGATACGTTTGTACCGGACGTCTTATCCCTTAGACCACGACGACCTTAATGCACTGGCCGTCTTATCCTTTAGGCCACGACGACCTCAAAATTTATGTATCACTCGGGATGATGTAAAGATTCTAACAATATCACAAACAATTAAATCTGTTAAGGCATTTGAAAGATATGATGGAACGTGCAATTGATCAGTAGTATTGTAAGCAAATAAGTAAAGATAAGTAGTCACAGTCGCGCATTGATTTCAGAAATGCCAGAGGTATAGCCGTTCCCTGCCTACTGCTAATGTCTTCCGATTGAAAGTTGGGGCAGCCGATATGTTGCAATTGCGTTCCAAATGTGACGTGAAGTTATGAAGATTTCTTCAGATTCACATGCACTTTCAAATCGTACTTTGTACCCTATTTGAATAAAAAAACGGACATTTTTATTTTATCCGCTCCGGTTACCTCATAACACTAGATGGCTTACAGACAGTCCTATATCGTGTGTAATAAAAATAATTTAGATTACTATTATTTTAGTACTAGGTAGGTAGGTAGGTAAGCACCTGGGTGACATGTAGCGTCTGGTCAGCCCGCGCCTGCGCTGGGCAGGTACCTTAAGGGGCAAAGAATCCTCAATAGGCATGCTCTCGTATGTTGTCAATTGTTAACGCTATTAAGTGAAACAAATGATGACTGGAATTTGGCCATTTTAGCCTTGGAATAAAAAAAAACTTGAATACGTTAGAAATAAAGACACAATTAGGGTTTATCAATTTTTATTATAAATTCGTAATTGTTATAAAAGTACGTATACTTATGTCCCATGTCCACTTACACAAATAAAAATGTAACATTTTATGTAGTATTTTTACGACAGCCTTCTTGAAATTAAATGTACCATATATTATTATATTATTATTTCAATAGTTTATTTATTGACCAGACCCTGTATGTATAAATATAAAAACGTATTTAAAATAACAATTAACATTAACAACAGTATAAAAGTCAATTTTCGTTTTACGTTTAAAATCTGATACACCCAATAATTTTGAATAGATATTATTCACTGGATTTGTTAATAGGCAATTATTTACAGATTGAAAATTGTACAAACTATATTTTTAAATTGTATTATTAGGTCAATTTGGAATCATTAATGTACATTTTCAAACCTATTTTTTAGCCTAGAGCGGGCCCAGCATTTTCAAGATTTAATGATGTCTTCATTTCGTATTAAAATAATATAATAGTTATTATTTGGCCAATAAAAATGAGCTACTTATCCATTCATAACTATATCATCACATTAATAAATATATTGAAAGTAAATCTTACGCTAGCTATACGAATTAAATAATGATTAAATGAGATTTAATTTGCAATTTGCCTCACTATGCGGTTTTTGTTCTTTCTATAATTATACCAAATTACAAATTTGTTGAAGCTGTTATTTGAACAACAACATAATATTTTGCAAGAACTACGTAGATCTGAATTAGTCGAATTGTCATGTAAACACTACAGTTGACAACAATGCCAATAATAATTTAAAAAAAAATCCATCCAAACCATTCATTTTCCCGGTCTCACAACCAGCAAGCCCGTATATAATAATTAATTTACTACACTCATGTACCATACGTACATGTTGTTAGAACATTTTATTTCATGACTTTCTAATGCTTTTCTTACTGATTTAAGGTACATCGACATATTTGTGTCCGGAATTACCTATCGCAAACCACCGAACTAATTGTTTATCAGATTTAACTTTGCTGAACATTTTACTCTATTACAATATTTAGTTTTAGTAATTTCTGAAATTCACTGTTCTCTTGTAAAAAATAGTTTACGAGTTTCGCATCACAATCGTTAAGGCCTATCTTTATAAACTTTGTTAGCATTTCATTCTTATAGAACAGGAAGTTTCTTCGAGTGAACATTCTCGGTGCAGGAGTTTAACTCCAAACGTCCGAAGAATATTTCTTGACGGATTCTAACTTCTTGAGGAACTGCACGGCCTCCGTCTCTGTGCGGCCGCCTTTCTCTTTTATAGCTTTCAACACAATGTTCCTTACGTCCACAGCCATGTTTTTCGCGTCACTGAAGAATAAATAATATTTTCCAAATTAGCATTTACAATAACAACCAGAGCGCATATGAGTTATCGATCCCTTCAGTCGAATCGAGTTTGATAGGCAGCGGCTTGGCTCTGCCCCTGGCACTGCTGAAGTCCATGGGCGACGGTAACCACTCACCATCAGGTCGGCCGTATACTCGTCTGCCTTCAAGAGCAATAAAAAAAAAATCATTAAAAACTGTTATCATATTATTCATATAACTAGAGCTGGGGCGGCCAACCAGTCTATCACGGCAATCTAAATACATAGAATAGACTGCGCAATGGAATCACCAACAGCAGCGCGTATCATCTTCACCTTGTATCATGCGTTAACTGCCATTCCATCACATTATTTATCCTCTCTGTCACGCAATACGTCTCTTTTATTTTACCAACCTATAAAATAAAAATAAATTACCCGCAAATGTAGAAATTTCCATTCCTATTTCCGATAACATCCCATAGTTCGTCCATATTATTTTCGAGTAAATGTGTAACGTAAACTTTGTTCGCTTGGTCGCGTGAAAATGCTAAATTCAGTTTTACGTCACCGTTCTTTTCGTATTCCTCTAGTTCCTGTAACATAATTAGTTTGACTGTATTAGTATAAATTACCATCTATATATATATAAATGAATTGCTGTTCGTTAGTCTCGCTAAAATTCGAGAACAGCTGGACCGATTTGGCTCATTTTGATCTTAGAATTATTTGTGGAAGCCCAGAGAAGGTTTAAAAGGTAGGTAAATATGAAAATGCTCGGAATTAAATAAAAATAATAATTTTGTTTTTCCTTTGATGTGTCCCCCGTCGGACGGATTCCTTTTGTTTGTTTTAAGTTTATTTTATACAAAAGTTTAGGTTTTTTATTTATCGATTGAGGCACTGCGAAGTCTGCCGGGTCAGCTAGTCAATAAATATATTATCTTAGACACCCGTTTATTGACGCGCACCTTTTATCACGAGTTGGCGTTATGGTGTATAACAACCGCAACTGTACAAACGTACCGACTTCAATTTAACAAAAGACGCAACAACAAACAACATCATTCAAAAATTAATAATTTAACACGCGAGAACGTTATAACAACAGTTTGAAACTGAACAAGGTCAGACCGTTTACTTAAATTGGTACTTAAGCGATATTTAAATATTTAACTACAAAATTTCAAAGTTTTTTAAAGGTCAAGACCAATAAGAAAATTGCGTATAGTAAGATTAAAAATTGTTACATCTAAAGTTTCGATCGCAATTTTTTCATTCAATTGAAACAATCCGAGTAATTCTTTTTAGTGACTAAGCTAAACATAAGTATAGTCGCTCAACGAAAAACCAACTGAAATTAATTAGGAAACAAAGAAATTAAGCACGTTTTCATTTTATCCTAGACAGAGAACGCACTATCACTACATAGTATAAAACAAAGTCGCTTTCTCTGTCCCTATATCCCTATGTATGCTTAAATCTTTAAAACTGCACAACGGATTTTGATGCGGTTTTTTTTAATAGATAGAGTGATTGAAGAGGAAGGTTTATATGTATAATAACATCCAGTAAATAGTGGAGAAATCAATAATAAATTACAGTTTCCGAAGCGAAGCGAGGGCGGGTCGCTAGTAATCTGATAAAGGTAATGTTCGATTTCATTATAAAAATTTTGCTCCAACTTCCGTTTTTCTGAAAAGGGACAGAGCGTTCCTTTTTCCTTCAAAAACCCTTTCAAAAACTTAAAATGTTTTGATCTGACAAGTACTCAGTTTTTTTTTACATCAAAATAAATAACCTTCATGCTTCAAAACGAGTTTGCATATTATGTTGCGTTGTGGTAAATGAGAATGGACTTTATTTATTGCTTTTGAGATATTTATTAGTCATTATGTGACAAATTAAAGACTGTATATAACAGAAATATGAAATCGATGCGTCGTCGCTCAGATCGCATCGATAATATTGCTTTTCAGTTTCCTCTCGTGTCTATTTGTTTGTAATGCATTTTTATACCTGTCTTGATTATTGCAAAAAACACGTAGTAGACTTTGGAATCGTGCTAAAAAAAAAGAGAACAAAGAATAGTTTTTGTGCTGATAAACAATGACGTATCACTTCTAAGAGGTGAGTGATCCCTCAAGGAAGCAGAGGTTGGATTTACAAAATATACATAATGGAGGATATACAAAATGGAGATCAAACAGAAATAAATTCCTATTAAATTTCCTTATTCATATAATCGTTCGATCGATTGAGTTATAATTTAATTTCAATGAAATTATTAAGGGCCAGTCAACAAATGAATTTGATTGATGAAGTATTTATTTTCTTTGGTGTTTGTAGTGAAAATTATTTGGTTGTATTAAAAATTGAAGGGTAGTTAGCTTAAACTACAGATGACAAGTAAAAGCTTAGTCGTGTGTGCCCACGAAAACTATAAAGTATTTTAAACGTCAGTAATAATACGAAGACAAAAATAAACACGAGATTAAACTGGAGAAGGAATATTAATTCAATCAATCTCTGTACTCTATTGAACGATATACTTCACTAACCTTATTTGAGGTAAAAAAATGCTGTGTTAAAATCATCCAAGACTATCTATCTAAAATTTATTTAAAAATCTCATAGTTTTTATTATATTGTGTTATGAATATTAAACCATAACATATTATTCCGAGTAAAAACTTGGATGAACCATTTATCTTTGGTTTTCTGTAAAGTCTAATATCGGTGTCTGTCGCAAAGGTGTCTTTCATTCAAGGTTATTGTTTAACCGTCCAACTAAAACACGAGTATTCGCAGTTATTCTAATAATATTAGACTTCGAACTCATGTGACTAGGCTCAAAAGGTGGGGAGCAACTTAATATCAGGTGGGCCGTGAGCTCACTTACTAGTCTATACATTAAAAAAAAGGAAACTCCGAATCTGATGATATATTACTATATCTGACATATCTACAGTTTGTTTTGATTAATAATAAAAAAATCCGAGCATTATTAATTATGACAAGCTGTAAATTAATTAGTTACAATTGTCAAGAAAAAAACAATGAAAAATAAATCGCGAATATGAAATAAAATGAATGTACTCCAATGTTAAAATAATTATAATTAACTTATTCGAAGAACATTATAAATTTTAATTCACACGAAACAATAGCGAAAAGTTTCATGTTCGAATGAACTCGTGGAACTTATTTCCGCATGAATTATTCAATCTTGTCTCCTTAGTTTAGCAAGCACATATTTTATTACTATTGAAAATCTAAAAACTAAAGATAGAAAACTATTGAAAATGAAGAACATCTATTATTAATAGAATTGCCTGTGAAATGATTAAAAATCATAATTGTGAATTACTACGTGAAAACTAAAAGGGGAGAGGGGGGCTCTTGGCATATACTACGAGTGATCATCGAGGGGAGGGAGAGGTCGAAAAAACTAAAAAAATTGGTCACGTAGTATGGGTACGTTCCCTAATGTGTTTAAGGACAAATTGCTCCAAGAAAACGTTCATAAAAATGACATAATTCTGTCAACGATTGCCGCTTTGGTATTACAATGATAGAAATCCCTATAGGTTGGGTAGATAAAGCGTGTAATATAATACAGCGGATACATAATTAACCCACTGAGTTTCTCGCCGGGTCTTCTCAGTGGGTCACGATTTCGATTCGGTGGTAGATTCCGCAAACCACCGCTCTTGCTAGGGCTAGTGTTAGCAAATTATCTCATGATGAGTCCGTGAGCTCACTTATCAGTTGTAGCGTAGCTGGAAGAGCCCTTAAAGCACAGATAACCCTATCTTTTCCGTTATCTGTGCCCTAAAGCTACTAGGCGATTAGGTAGAAAAATAAAACTACAAAGACACGGTCGGGTCCAGTGATTCACTAAACTCTTCCAATATACCACAATACAGTTGACCCCTCATGCCCTAGTTTCTTACCCTTTCTATTTACTGTGAGTCCGCACAATAATTCATAGACTGAAGTCTATATTCATCTCTGTTTACAAACAGATTGGCCTCACCTCCGACCTCATTCGTATCAAGATTCACTTAATTCATTTATAATTAGTCTTACTTCTCGTCTTATTTCTATCACGATTTTGGCTTCGTCAAACTTTACATTGAAGCCTTAAGCAGTTATTGTTCAAACACTTCAAATGTATTTTTAATAATAACATCGACGCACAACATGTGCCGGGCGATTTGTTTTTACAAAAGGGTGTTTTACATGCGTTTAGTAACAGTTACTCGTGTCCGGATTTTACATGTACAAAACAGTATACCACTAACCCGTGTAAGTGCATATGTAACATAAGTTATAAGTACCTCTTGGTAGATGTAATCCTCATCACGATGTCTGCATCCAAAGTAAAGGATGTTCTCGCCCACTTCTTTCCCACTGGCGCGGACGAATGCGCGGTCTTGAAGAAAACCTCGGAAGGGCGCCAATCCAGTCCCCGGTCCCACCATTATTATTGGTGTTTGGGTCTGCATTGGAAGCCTACAAACGATTAATAATGTAATACATGAAAATGATTTTTGCATTCCACAGAAGAGTGAACCAGCTCACGGCCCACCTTTTTGTTTTTATTACCCTTGTAGGCAGACGAGCATACGGCCCACCTGATGGTGAGTGGTTACCGTCGCCCATGGGCTTCAGCAATGCCAGGGGCAGAGCCAAGCCGCTGCCTACCGCTTAATACTCTCCACAAGCCTCGTTTGAAGAAGGACATGTCATAGCGCTCGGGAAACACCGTGGAGGGGAGCTCATTCCACCTGGTGTTAAATGGTTACCGGAGCCCATAAGCATCACGACTTTAAGACATGCTTTGAGACATGAGATCTAAGCCTCAATTGCATAGTGTAACGATTATCTCATCCTTCAAACCGGAACGCATTGCTGCTTTGCCGCAGAGCAGATTCGTGATACCTACCCGTGCGCGCTCACAAGGCGCCCATTACCACCAGTATTGACGTAAATTATACATATCGATGCTTGAAAGGCAAAAGTGACTAAGCGACAATAACTGCTTTGTACATAAATGATAGGCAATAACCATATTCGATGCGCAAAAAAAATATATTTCTAGGTCTATTAAAATCATTTCAATCCTACAGCTACTAGCTAGATTCTACTACAGCTAAATTCGTTAAAATAAATTTTGTTTTCAGGTATTTCAACTTTAAATTAGTCTACTGTAAAGTTCACGCATTGTCGCTTAGACACGTTTGCCTTTCAAGCGTCATATATTTTTGTGGATCTAATTTTTATTATAGTATGTTATTCCTTCATGTTGGATGTGATTCGTTAGCATTTGTTAAGTACCTATTTGATCAGAATCGATACCTGCCTGCAAGATTTGAAAATCGATATAGTCGGATCGCCCGATAGGAGTACTCCGGGCCCTTTATCCTTTAGGCTATGGCAAACTATAAAGTTTCCGTGTTAATAATCCTACTAAGTCAAAAATGTCTAATTTATTTTCTAATTATATGCAATGCGTACCTTCGATTTATCAAAAATACGGAAAGTTCACTATACAATAAAATTATGCTATAAACTGTTAAATTGAATTGGAAATATAAATTTAAATTACTATTTCCCTATATACAACGTATCGAACGTAGTATAGTGTAGTTATGCTAATCATACAGTTTAGGCGGGAAAATAAAATATAGATGTCCAGTACAGCGAATGGACCGCATGGGTCATTCGTGGTCAAATAATACTCTATGCGTAAATAGGATTCTTATATTATTTAGGACAATAATAATATTTTATTCACCGATTTAATGTATAATCGGAGAGATCACTGCGTATTACTACATAAAACACACAACAAAACTGGTCAGTCAACCGCATGCGTCATAAAGTTGTTCTAGACGCTTCCTAACATTATTGTGGTAGTTTTTAAGACAAGACTGAACTTGACCAAAGTCACTTTAAAATACGAATAAACATCAGCTAAAACAGGTTACGGCCTCTCGAGCAGAATATACAATTACGTAAATAAATTACCTTCTAATAATATGACGCAACATCTACATAAATGTATGTGTGTGTGTGTCCAACGTAATTCAATCGTTTTTGTGTAGGTATTATTTATAATTACTTGTATATTATGAGCGATTTTTGGCTGTTTTTTCATTTAATACATAGATTGAGATTAATATTAGTTATTAGTATTCAATTACTGTTAAAATTATTTATAACTGTATTTTCTTCTTCATACGGTCAATAGATTGAATTTAGCGTTTATCTATATTAAATAACTATATTACAAACGCTATCTTATCCATTACAAGGTAAACTCGTGGTTGAGACGCTTGCAACAATGCAGACCTACCAGGAACTCATCAAAAGTAAAAACCGTGGTGAGAACCAGTTAAATATAAGTTGTTTATAACATAGTAACACAACTAAATATGGTAAAGAACTACAATTAATAAACGTAATAAATTTTCATTAAAACGAATGAATCTTATTTTCTCTTTACAAGTTTCTTTGAAACAGAATTATGCATATCGACAATTGAAAGGCAAACATGACTAAGCGACAATGCGTGAACTTTACAGTAGACTAATTTAAAGTTAAAGTTAAATTTAAGTTAAAGTGTACTGGTGGTAGGACCTCTTGTGAGTCCGCGCGGGTAGGTACCACCACCCTGCCTATTTCAGCCGTGAAGCAGTAATGCGTTTCGGTTTGAAAGGTGGGGCAGCCGTTGTAACTATACTGAGACCTTAGAACTTATCTCAATGTGGGTGGCGCATTTACGTTGTAGATGTCTATGGGCTCCAGTAAACACTTAACACCAGGTGGGCTGTGAGCTCGTCCACCCATCTAAGCAATAAATAAAAAAAAAGTTGAAATACTTGAAAAAAAATCTATTTTAACGAATCTAGCTGTAGGATTGAAATGATTATAATAGAACTAGAAATATATATTTTTTGCGCTTCGAATACGGTTATTGCCTATCATTTAAGTACAAAGCAGTTATTATCGCTTAGTCACGTTTGCCTTTCAAGCGTCGATATATTATTAAATGGTTTGTAGCGCATCTAGTACAATACGACCGACGTAACTTGGCGAGTCCGAACTTCGCGCAGAAGGCTGCGCACAAACGTTTTTAGGAACCAAATGGTGGTATGAGCAACGTGCGCGGGGCGGAGGTCTAGGCTAGGGATTGACTCTATGTAAACACAATCGTCCCTTTATTCAATCAAATATCACAATCGATTTTTATCGGTTTGGAATTTATTNAAATTATATCGTGTATTTAGTCAAAATAGACACCACGATAATAAACCCCCGGACAGACGGGGGTACGTGTTAGTGGTGAGGCAATCGTGAAGGTGAGACGAGACAGCACTTAAATCAAACATTGATTTAGAAAAAAAAAGTACAGTATTAAAAATTAGCTGCAGTACCAGTTAATATTAATGAATCTAATAACAATTTAAATATATTATTATGTATGCTAATGTCACCGACCTTGAATAATAATATTTTATGTTTAGATAATTTATTCAAAAATTTTACCAAGAATTTAATATATTTACACTAATCTACAAATATAATCGCTGTTACCTACGGTTACTTCCACGTACTCAAGGAAATGTGTCTTTTCTTTACGAAAAATAATATAAGGATATGGGATGATGTTTTTCCGGGATAAATAGTCTATGTCACTCGCCCGAACTAAAGCTATCGTTTTTTGGATGGTTTCATACGATGCACCAAATAAGAAGAGAAATAGTTGAATAGAATTGAAATATCACTAGCCGTACTCACCCGCTTCGCTGGGCATTTAAAGTTAACACTATTATTTATTGCTATTATTATTAGGGAGTCCAGCGCTTATATAAATATTAGCCTATCCATTAAGTGCATGTATTTTCTACATGGATTCCAAGTTTCAAGCCAATCGGATGCATGGTTCAGTAGTTATAACGGGACATTTTTACTGGTGGTGGGACCTCTTGTGAGTCCGCGCGGGTAGGAACCACCACCCCTGCCTATTTCTGCCGTGAAGCAGTAATGCATTTCGGTTTGAAGGGTGGGGCAGCCGTTGTAACTATACTGAGACTGTGAACTTGTCCAACCATCTAAGCAATAAAAAAAAAAAAATTATGTATGTGTTGTGTCAAATACATGGTAGTGTGTGTAATGTTTTCTTTATTGATTTAAAGTATCTTTTATGCATTATTTTAAAAAAATATTAGCATTGTGCACTCCTTCTCTATATTCTCTACAAGTGTGAGAAATTTTATACTCCTCCGTCCGCACAATTTTCGTAAAAAGGGGTACAAAGTTTTTGCTTGACGTATTAATATATATTAATATATATTAATATATAATATATTAATATATATTAATACACGACCTTCAGCAATGAAGAAAGCGACGAAGAAGAAGAATTAATATATAGATAATACCTGAACTGAGATTTCCTTATATAAACCGGGACACGAGGCAACGGTTTCCCCGGCTCGGGTTTATGTTGAGCAAGCCACGTCGTAGCGACACCTTTGTTGATTCGTCCGGTCGGAGTCTTGTACTTGACGACGACCGCGGTAATGTGGACCGTCTCTGGATGAAGCTAGAAATACATTATAATTTAGATTAAAATAAATAATATTTATTTAAGAGCATAGTTCTCTTAGAATGAGATACTATGGAATTACAAAAAGAGAGAGTACTATTTTGACCGTTTGTCAGTGGATAACGTATCGTTGTACTCAAGTAAGTTTTTTAGATTTAAGTTGATGTTTAATAAGTCAAGATTAAACTATGTAGTTTGATAGAAATTTATAATAAATTGGTTAAAACTCTTGATTAACATTGAATATCAATTAAAGAACAAACGACTTTATAGAGATTTCCAAACATACCTTAGGACTAGAAGAAATCGAATAGTATCTTGGTTGTAACCGGGGCAAAAGTTCACAGATATGATCCAAGGGAGGTTTACATGAAGGTAGGTCTTCCAATATGTGCACAATATTTCTACAAGCATCAACTACAAACGACTGATACAGAGATTTTCCCTCTTGAGTGTTTGTGGCCATCAGAAGCAGCTTCTTCTTATCCTGAAGCAAATGAAAACATTAACATGAGCATTTTAATTTATTGTTTAAATTTAGTAGACATGCATTTTATATACATGAGGTGTAAGGAAACCGTTATAGATGCCTAATATGATACATTTCCTACAGCACAATCCATATATTTATAATTCATGTTCTTAGGACTGCACATAATGTATGAACTTGTATTTGTTGTGAAACGACGGATATCTTGTTTAACTTAACAAATGATATTTTTTTTCATTTTCACATTAGAGATAGGTCTGGGTATGGAATACCCAGTAAATTATGTAATTAACCCCATATACCCAGTAATTACTTTTAATACCTATACAATTATCTATATAATACGTATCGGTGATTTAATCATTGTACCTTGGTATTATTGAATACCGGAGTGCATGCACATTGTCAATAGATTGATTTAAATAAATTGACTGTTTGGAGGATGCCAATGAGGTCAATGTCCACAGAGAAAAAATATTTAGTATATTAAATTTATTATTAAATGTTACAAAATAATAATCGCGACAGATGACTAAGAAACACGAAGGCTGATTTTAAGTTAACCATATTATTATAGAAACTGTTTCTCTTGAAATACCAGAACTTATTTTATACACAAGTATTTACACTTCTGTTGCCGATTTTTTTTAATTATCACAATAATTGTATTTGAAACAGTACAGTTGTGTTAAAATTAAAATATAACGAAATTATAAATTGACACTTACTTCTTCATTAGAACAATATTCAACCAACTCTCGGAGGATGTGGGTACGCGGTAATGCTGTAATTTCTACGTAATGCGAGAGGGCAGTTCTGTAAGATGTTGGACAAGGGAATGGATGTTTCTTGCTGCTTTCCTGGTCAGTGTTGATAAGCGAAAATATTTCATCGAGATTGGCATTTGTCAGTTGTCCCAAGCGCTCTACTAAATCCATATCGTTGATAGGATACACAGCTACATGATCACCTAAAAAATCAAAATGCCCATTGTATTGCTTGCCTATTTTTCATGTATTATCTAATTTATTTCATAGTAAAGAGGTGCCAGGTTCTTACCAGCTTCATATCGCATTTTAGAATCAGATATGTCTAATTCTACATGCAAACATGATCTGTCACCACCACGATGTAGTTCTCTATTGACAGTAATCTGTGCCAAGAATGGATTTTTAGAATCATATGGTCTGAAAAACAAAACAATAGCGTAAGTTAATTGACTGTCAATATGAATACAGATAAAATTATCTTTCATAATTTTTTCAGCAGCTGTACAAAGAAAATATGTGTTTTTAATGAAAATGTAATTATAAAATCTTTATTATATTCTTTTTTAAATCATTTAAAAAAATAGTCTGTAGGCAGAGCCTTGGCTCTGCCCCTGGCATTGCTGAAGTCCATGGGCGACAGTAACCATTCACCATCAAGTGGGCCGTATGCTCGTCTGCCTACAAGGTCCATATAATAATAATAATAATAATAATAATGTTCTCCTTTCAGTTTTTTAATTTAAACCAGGATTGAATAAATAAGTAAGGATTATAATTATTGAAGACTTTTAAATGTAGTAGTTTACAATAGGCAGCGGCTTGGCTCTGCGCATGTCATTGCTATGCGTGCATATGCACGTCTATGAGTGACAGTAATCACCCACCATCAAGCGGGCCGTATGTGGGCTGCCTACAAGGGCAATAAAAAAACTTACGGTCTTTGAACTTGTAGCGAGTGTAGCTTAGCAATTTCACCAGTGAACACACTGTTAGGAGAAATTTCATCAGGTGGATGGAGCACGTGACGGAACTGTCTCGTGAGTTCTTCTTCTCCTGCACTTTCAATGTTGTATTTCTCACATACCGCTGGCCAAAATTTATCTTTCCACGTAATGAAGTCATCTTCAATACTATAGAGATATAAAAACTATTTTTACTAAATTATCAATGCATAATATTGGAGTAGTAGCAGAATTTTTATAAGTCTTACTATATTTAAATTTATTTGATTGTAAAACTTATACACAACGATGTGAACACATAGGTGATTAGCTAGCTTGATGTATCTTAAATAGTAAATTCCACATTGAGAAGCTCTTGGCTATGAGTTTCGGATGTATACCAAAATTACTTATTTGGCATTTGTTAAGCCTATCAATAACTATTGCAGTAGCCTGGTAAGCTCTTCAATATCAAAGTGATGCTGGTGGTAAGGCATCTTCGTAGCCCTAGCCTTCAGAGGTTGGTACCACTACCCTGCCTATTTCTGCAGTGAAGCAGTAAAGAAATTCAGTTTAAAGAGTTGAAAATTAGAATACAAGCTGCCAGGGAAGTGCTAAGTATGGGCCTTAAAAATATATTAGGACATATTAGGAAAGAAGATTAATATTTTGGCTTCTGGTGACACCAGTGGTGTCGTTCGTAAAGTAATGGCCAACTGCCAGCCACACCACAATGGTGTCATGAGCTATTATGACTCAGTGACCAGCAATAGCACTTTAGTATTTTTTTTATTCTGTTGTTGTATTACTGAGGTAACAATAAGATACACATGTTCACACATCAACAAATAAAATGTAAATAAATATACAGCTGATGTACAAATACAATTAAAATAATGTGTTTATTTACATACTATCTTCCAAATATCATGAAAGTAGACAAACAGGGTTGAGAACTTATGAGAATGAATAATGAAATTAGTAAGCTATAACAATTTATAATTTCCCGATAATGTCAGCAAAGTGTTAAGTACATTCAGACTACAAATATTAAAAATGTTTTCAAAAACAATAGCTTTGTGTGAGCGTTAAACCTGTATCTCATGATGTAGTAATCAGGGTCACACAACAAATGAGGTGATCAAATGCTAGTCTTGACACTGTAGTCAATTTTTGTAGCTGTTGTAGGTACAAGAAAACTATACTCACTTAGCATCATCATCACCCATTCCCAATTCATATACTCGTGTAGCTCCAAGTTCTTCTAATCTTTTATCTAAATAAATGGCCACTGCATTATAATGCTCATATGTTTTATTACCAAGCCCAAATACCTGTGGAAGATACAGAGAATTTCAAAGAGGTGTTATGATTCTTTTCTAGTTATTTACAGAGATAAATAAGTCTTTAATGTTAATAATGGTAGTGATTACTGTTCATGTATATTGTATACTACAATGGAACTAATTGGTTCAAAGCAAACAGAGTAAGCTTTGTCTCAGTGTCATATGATGCAATGATGAAATGGGAGATGACTGAATCATTGCTAATTGCCCTCAGAACAATTTCCATAGAATATAGTCAATTTCAGATCATCTTAACTCTAACACGTGTTAATACCGTCTACGTTATCCTTAACCCCTAGGAGCTAGAAGCTTAGGGCCTGCGGAATATGTTTAATTTGAATTTTATTTGAAGTATGTTTTGATCAGATACATGCTCTGCAATTAATTGTCGCTATGCTATTAAAAACAATAAATTAAACAATTACCGAAATCACAGTTTCGTACCATGTGTTTCAATTTTAGCAACGGAGATGCAAATTGCCTTCTATAATTAATAACTTTAGGTAAAGTATTAAAAATTAAATTCATTTTGTTATCTGTATTTTGGTAACCACTATAATTTTTAAACTGTTATTACTTATAAGTATTTGACTATAATATTTTTCTAATAATCAATAAAGTTATTGGAATCACAAAAATGAAATATCTTGTCGAAATTTAAAGGTCACATTAACGCTTAAAACAATGTTCCCTTGAATGAAAAGTATTACGTAACTTTTTTTAAATAAAAGTATTATCTTATAAATTATTAAAGTGCTACTTTAAAGTTTTATCAAATTATACTTCCATGGGATATTACATTATTAAACAACTAATAAGAAACCTTTTTCTGTTGAAAATTAGTTTCTTTCAAAATGACAGTTGACGTTTAAACAATGTCAATGAAAATTGTTTTTAGCGACAAGGCAAAGGAACTTTGAAGTTAACTATTCCGTAACTATATTTATATTAAACATGTAAACGTAACACAGCAAATGTTTTCTTAATAAAAGAAAATGTGTTTCAAGCTAAACAAACTTAAACTTGACTTGATTGTTAGCTACTAGTATATTATTATGCACGTGCTCGTGAATAGCCATAATTACTTAAAGGTCACACAATACGGTTTTCTTAATCGATGCGCGTGTAAAACGAAAGGTTTTGTCTTTTTGTGCCGAGAAGCAAACATGCTTCAAGTAGCACCCCGCCTTCCAATGCAATGAAGCCTTCAATCTCACACCAGATAGATCGCAAATCTGGCCACTTTTAATTAATGAAAATGCAAATTAGGTGGTCCATTCTTAGACCCAGGCACATAAGTAGACATGACGGCATTACCGCACCATGCCAACATACCATACCATTACCCTTGTGATTAAGCAAATTTAATAATTTAAACGTTAATTTTTTTCCTGGAGGTTTTCCCAATATTATCTGCTTTACAATGTACATAGATAGGATTTCAAACCAAGTGTCGCTTGTAATCGGACGCCAAGTTTGTAATCGTAATTTTAGCATGTTTTGCAATTTACTACTAACTCCAGTACATACAAAATATTATATGTGTATAGCGGTAATGCGCGCGTACGTGTTCGTTACCTAATGTGAGTAATAAATTAACGATCGCAGGTGTAGCAGTATGCGGGCTACGAAATATTTTAAATACAAACCAAATAAAATTATCAAGTGGCAGCTCGCGACGCAATGCGACGTGTAATAACTTTGTTACGATTATGGCTGACCAAACATAATACAACATTAGCCTACTTTAACAACATCATGAATTACATGTGGCTTATTAAGATGTGCTAAGAGTGCGTTAAAAACGTATAACATTATTGTGTAGGTAAACTATATAGTAATAAGACGTATTAGATACATATGTGTGAGTGCTGAGTTAAGGTCAGTGCGGGCAATTCCGGCATTGTTTTTTCAACGCCAATTTTTTCATGCTTTATATATTTTTCATAAATAGTACTTATTATCGTGTTAAAACCTTGATCGGGAGAATCATGTTTTTTTATATGCCTAATAGTTTGTTCATCCCTTCAAATCGGGGTACATCCGGGGCGCCACTTTTTTCCCCGGAATTATGAGAATGAATCAATTATTCTTACTAAGTAAATATATTATTACTACATAAATATGTAACTACATAATAAAATAGTAACATTGAAAATAAAATCACACCCGCATTGTGTATCTTATCTGCTCTACCATCTCCAGCAACTATTTAAGAAACGAGGGTATAGTCCGGCATATTTAGGAAATGAGGTCGGTGGTTAGTTAATCTAATGTATTCTTATCAAAACTTACTGCGTAATTTAGGCCAGTCAGATCTGGATCTTGATTTTTTAACCATTCATAAAATTCCATTGAATTATCTGTGGGGTCTCCCTCACCGTATGTTGCCATACAGAAAACAGCCAGGGAGTTTTCAATTTCTTGTAGCTTTGTGAGTTCTTCCTAAAAACAACAATTCGAAATAGTTCAACACGTATCTACGATAATTGGCGGACGGGAACCTGAACTACAAATTTGTCGCTCTATGATCTGTTCGTTCAGGGTCAGAACAATATGTCTTCCCATCATAAAACTACGTAGCACTTGAGTATTTCTTTAACACGTGTACCGTGTATCATATGGGTCGATATTTAAATTGTATTTACTTTAATCAATAGATAATAGAGATTGGAAAGACACGTAACACGGAAACACTTAAAATATTTGCGACAAACATCATTGAAAACGTTATATAACACTTAATTACTTATTAACCGGATTTAATTTAAATAAATTGTGATTAGGTGAAACTATACCGAAACAGTGACATAGTAAAAGTACCTACTTTAATTTACGCATGTTTTTTAGTAGTATAAATATCTCAAAAAAAAAACGAATTATTCCCATTTACTTTACTGTACCAATTATACTGCGCCGCGTCTTGGAATCAATATTCACAGGCAAAGATAATTATGTTCATACCATATCACATTCTTCTGGATCAGCCACCATACCCTTCATTTTATAACGCATGCCTTCTTTGGCAAGTCGACCAGCGAATTCTTCCGCAGTACCCGTCTGAGATCCATAGAACACTACTAAACTCCTTCCCGAAGTCTTTAATTTTGTTATAAAAGAGTTTTCTGTGACTTGTATAGATCCTGCTGCTCTGAAAGGAAAATGTAAATACATATAACTTATTTGTTAAACAGCAAAACGTAAAATCCAGATGAAGTTTTATTCGAAATACCACTAAGTGCGTACTTGAGAAGGAAAAGACGCAAACATAATAACGGAATTGCTAAATCTTTTTTCCTTAATTTTAAAATTTCCTTAAAGTAATTGTCAATGATTCTAATAAAGAACGGATTATTAATAAGAAATATTTTTGTCTGGCATGTATATTTGCTAATACTTAGGTAAAAATCATTTTCATATTTTATTTGTGTAGGTAATAGTTTTAGGGGTGTATAAAAATAGGGGGTGCTGAAAAATAATTGATTTTCAAAGGGCGGTAAAAGAAATAAGTTTGATAATCACTGGTCTAGAGTATGGTTCTGCTTCCGGAATAATTATCATGGAATCACCCATGGACATTGTATGTGGAAAATATATTATTGAATTCATAAAACATTAAAGTCGTACCGATAAGATACTTCGGTGTTCTTTCGAACACTTTTCACACAAAGATGGTCATTAAATATCATGTGGATGACAGAACTTACAGTAAATAGACACTTTAAAAGGCTCTCTGCTATGTTTTGAGATGAAAGATGTGCATTTTTTTTCAAAGTAATTATTATAAAATTATCATAGGCCTATATAGGTTTCATACAACTTCAGTGTAAATAATAAACAAATAATGGAAATTTTTCCCATTTTTTACGGAGACAGTTTTCTACGACGTTTATCACATTCGCGGAAAATACATTTTGTGAGTAAAATTAAATAATAATAAAACAGATTTATGGCCAAAGTCTTTATTATTGTTTTTATTATGAAAATTATTCGTCTTGTAAGAAGTAACGAAGGAATACGAAGTCGACCTTTTTTAATTTTTTTCCTAGGCATGTCTTTTAGTCAGGACGGAATTGTCTTTTTCTGAACGTGTGACCATTTTTTTTAAACATTTAACACATTTCTCGACGGTGGCATTTCCTCTTAACCGGTCACTCACATTCGCACGAATACGCAAACCCGCAAGTGTAGGACGAAATTTGCAAATGATTATGCAAAGTTTTCGCTGCATTCGTGGTTTTCCAAGCTGTGTCGGTTTTTTAACAGACATAAAAGCGCGCGAACCGCGATCCTTCGCGTAGTCTCCCACAGTAATGATGTCTGGGAAAGAATTCAAAACTCTTTTGCTCTTCAATGTTCTATTGACGAATTAAAAAGGAGGACAAATTCGTGAGACATTCGTAAACAAGTGTTGGAGGAAGCGCAAACGGGTTCGCAAATTGAGTACCGAACCCATTTGCACAGCCGCTAAGTTTGCGAATGAATGTTTGAATGCAAATATTCGTACAATGTACGAATATTTGCGCGCATGTGTGTGGCCGGCATTAGATATAGGTAGATAATAGGTAGGTTCGTGACAAATTGTAGGTTTGTGTTAAGTAATGGCATCCGTGTAAAATAGTATTGACATCGGGCTCATTAGGGGGCCAAATATATAAAGAATAAAATTTTAAAAGTTTTGTCTTTCCCATTTGTCTGCGATCCTTTGAATAATAATAAAAATTAAATATTGTATGACACAATATAAATATAGTATAACGAAATTCTGTGGAAGGAAACATTCAAAAATATTAAGATTGGTAAATTCAGCTATCGAAAATCCTTGATAGTTGAACACGAACAAATTTATATTAAGATTTTGTACACAAAAATCGCAAGGCAAATCGTGACCATAATTTAAGCAAGATTTTCGAGAACTTATAATACGTCATACCCCCAATATTTGCACCAATAAACGTGTTTATTATTCTTTACTTAGAAAAGGGGGTAATGTTTCCAAAGTACAACTTTGTACCACAAAGATACAACTTTGTACCACAGTATCACTCGGTACGAGTATACCGTGTGTCTTAGGTATTGCTTTTTATGATTCAATTTATTTCATTGGAATGCCCCGTCCTTCGAATACGAAAAAAAAAAATTTTATCTTAATTAATTGTACGACGATGTAAAATTTTAAAGTAGTGTAATAAAAGTGTGTAAAACGTCTAAAAACAAAATCGCAATATGTATTTCCGTTCAGGTCGCACGGAAAGATCGTGCTGTGTGTTCTGGCCGTGAAACATTCATGCTTTGGTGATCATTATCATTTTAAATATGTTATATTTATTTTTCAACTAAAGTAACTTGTATATAAAACCGCGCAGAGTTTCTGTGATGCAATTTATACCAACAAAAGAACACAGATATCTTTCTTATACCTACTAGTGATGGATTTATGCTTGATGCCGCTCTAGACACCGTTCATCGCGACGCCCTTAATGTTAGAATACATTTGATTAATTTTGATCCAATTACTTTATATTTAAATTAACTTTATAATTTTTTTATAACAATTAATCTCAACTCATTTTCAAAGGTCTTTACATTTTTCGTCTCTGAAATTTTGGCATTTCAAAAATTTTGCCGCCCCTCAAATCTTGCCGCCTTAGGTCCGGGCCTCACGGGCCTAGGCGTAAATCCATCACTCATAACTACAGATAGGTGTTTAATATTTTTTACTTTTGTTTTTACAGATATTTTGTATTTTATTTAAAAATCTCAAAACGCATCATTCAATTACATTTAATAGATTGATTTCAAAACGAGGTAAAGCCAAACGAGGAAAACCTCACGTATCTATAGGTATAAATACATTACATATATTTCTACTATACCGGAAATCTTAAGTACAGAGATGCATAACATGACATTCAAAATGGTAGCATGTACATGTTTGTTCTCTATGCTTTACTAAGCCATTATTTATTGCAATGTATGTACATATTGTATAAGAGTAAAATTGCATTCTGAACGAAACTACAATTTAAAAGTATTGTCTTACATATCTCCGTAAAATATCTTGATGTTGATTTTTCATTGTATTCAAATGCTATTTTTTGTATATTTTTGTACAGATCTATACATTTACATTTTAAGCATCAAATTTGTTTTTTGTAATTTTTTGTAGCGGTAAGATTTTTTTTAAAAACTGTGAATTGATAATATATTATTATTCCATGGTTGTATCCGCTATTTTATGCTTTCCTCACTTTTAATACCTACTTGAAGTACATATATGTATATAATAAATACATATTTATTTATCATTTACCATCTTCAGATTTTTCTTCACCTTTACTATCTTGGAACTTGTCTACGATTTAATAGTACATACACTTTTTTATAGCCATGATATGTACAAGGTGCTAAGTTAATTTCCGCACTTGCCTTTACAATTGTCAGCATCTAGATTATTTTTACAATTCAAATATATAAATGAAATTTAACGAAATATATAATTAAGTATATTTCTCAGCTTCTTGAAGGCCCATCATTAATTAAGCGGCGTAGTCCACCTTCAACAGTTCAAAGTACCGAATTCAGGTCAGGTTATAAGGTTTTCATTGACAATTCGTTCACTAGGTCAAAAATTAAAACTCATTATTCAAATTCTCATACACATCCCGCTTTTCTTCTAATTTAGAAACCTGACGTTGGCCCTGAGAACATCAATCGTGGTCATAGCGGTTAAAGTTCCCAATAAGTATATTTGAAGAGCGGATAGATCAAGGAATATCCAGATCACGCAGGAGCCAATCACCTTTGTCGCCTTAGACACGCCTTTACGGATCCATCTGATCCAATAACCCTTGCATTAGACGCCTTCCGCTTTAACAGTAAGGTAGAGATCCCGGTAGCCGTACTCGTCGAACCCGGCAAAGAGTTCGACAGGCTACTTAACCTAACCATCAGCCCGTTGAGTTTCTCGCCGGATCTTCTCAGCGGGTCGCGATTCCGATCCGGTAGTAAATTCATTCGCGAAGCAACTACTCTTGAGTCGTTAGATCTCCCTTGGAGGCGCTCGGGTAGCTGTTAGCAAATCTCGCCCCTTCTGGCTGAGCCCTTGCTCGCCCACCTGTCCTTGTGAAACTGGAAAGGCCTCCGGGCCTCCGGGCCACCAGTAAACCATCAATCATAAAAAAATCAAGAAATAAAAAGCAAACAGTGTTCGATTTTGGCTAGTACGTACATATATCCCAGTCGTAGAGCCTTACAGTCGTTACAGCCGTATCAAGACCACGTCAATCTCCAATATTTATGCGGAAGGTTTTTAGTTCTAAAGTAACGGCAGAAAATATATCGCCAACAGTACGTCCTACTGTGGGAATAATCTTGAAGTGTTTTTTTAGGTGCTATCCGATGACGAATGAATGATTAACGAAAAATTATTTTTTGTTCTTCATATCTCGTCTTCAATCTACTTCAAGACTATGATCCATGAAATCATTCATTCAAATGATACTAGTTTTTTTTCCAATCTTGAGCTAGTCTTGCTGACTGGCGGACCCGGCTGCTGATAGAATCGGTAGGCCTAGTTCATGTAAATAGGGTGAATCGTAACCGCGGGCATCTCTTAGTTTCCGACTGACGCAAGTACTGACAGAACTACTTCAGAAGTCGTCGTGGCCTAAAGGATAAGACGTCCGGTGCATTCGTGTTGAGCGATGCACCGGTGTTCGAATCTCAGGCGGGTACCAATTTTTCTAATGAAATACGTACTCAAAAAATGTTCACGATTGACTTCCACGGTGAAGGAATAACATCGTGTAATAAAAATCAGATCTGCAAAATTATAATTTGCGTAATAACTGGTGGTAGGACCTCTTGTGAGTTCGTGCGGGTAGGTACCACCACCCTGCCTATTTCTGCCGTGAAGCAGTAATGCGTTTCGGCTTGAAGGGTGGGGCAGCCGTTGTAACTATACTGAGACCATAGTACTTATATCTCAAGGTGGGTGGCGCATTTACGTTGTAGATGTCTATGGGCTCCAGTAACCACTTAACACCAGGTGGGCTGTGAGCTTGTCCCCATCTAAGCAATAAAAAAATAAAAAAAGCTGTGAACTGCACCGCGTCATCGGGACAGGGCCGACGATGATTCCATCATTGT